AWKMAWTTYTTTACTTAGAGGGTGGTGAGGCACTGAACAGRTTGCYCRGAGAAGTTGTGGATRCRCCATCCCTGGAAGTGTTCAAGGCCAGGCTGGACAGGGCTTTCTKTGASCAACAYGGTCTAGTGGAAGGTGTSCCTGCCCATAGCAGGGAGWTSGAACCAGRTATTTTTAAGGTCCCTTCCAATCCAAACCATTCWATGAGCACCTGAGCAAAGGKGGCAAAACACAGCCTTGACTGACCCTGMSTGGTGAGGAGCAGAGGAGTAACAGKGAAGSGAAACCCCTGGGAAAGGCRGGTCAAGGGMAGTCACACACCCYCACCCGGGCGGCGAGGGRCTCCTGGCGCCGCCATCGGGACCTAGGGAGCAGTTTGGCGCCAGTTTGGAAACTCCCGGCGGGGACTCCCGGGGCACCGGGGACTCCCGGCACAGAGGGAACTCCAGGCACACCGCCTCACGGCACGGGGCGGTTCGGGGGAAGGGAGGCCATTAGTGTCGCGCCCGCGCCCCCGCGCCCCACTCACCGCTCGCCGCCAGCGGAGCCTCCCCGCGGGGCGGGGCTGCGCCTGCGCGCTGGCGCCCCCTCCCGGGCGGAGGCCGGCGGCGCGAGCGGGCGGGGGCGGGGGCGGGGCCTGCCCGGGTCCGCCCTTCCCCTCAGCCGTGTGGCGGCGGGGAGGGCAGCCGGGGGAGTGTGTGTGCCTCGGCCGCGACTGTGGCGATTCTTCCGAAGGCATGGAAGCGTCAAGGTTGGAAGAGACCTTTAAGATCATCCAGTCCAACCGTCCACTGGCGCTACCGCTGTAACTCATAACTACTAAATCACTCAGTGCTAGATCCAGACGCCTCTTGAACACCGGCAGGGATGGTAACTCCACAATGTCTGTGGGAAATATTTCAATTCCTTAACACTCTAACAATGAAAAATACTTTTCTAATGTGTAATCTGAACGTCCCCTCTCTCAGTTCAAGGCCATTCCCCCGAGTCATGTCTCTGCAGGCATGGCAGAAGAGACAGGCTCCAAAAACCATTTTTTCAGGGAGCTGTAGAGAGGGATAAACCCCACACCCAGCCCACTCTTCCTGAGAATTAACAACCCCAGCTCCCTCAGTCGTTCCTCGTAAGACATGTTTTCTAGTCCATTCACGAGYCTTGTTACCCTTTGCTGGCCACACTCTAGCACCTCAATGTGGTTTTTAAAGTGAAGGGCACAGAACTAAATGCAGTACTCAAAAATAGTAAATGGGAAACGGGGGAAGGAGCTGGCTTAATCAGAGGGGCCCTTCACCATCGAGCCACTCCTCAGCACCCAGGCACAGTCACAGTCAGTCCCAGATAATCTGGAAATGCACTGAGAGCTGCACATCATTCATCCAGATGTGCAAATGCTGGCAACAGGGCTGGCAACAATTATGTTTTAAATGTGGGGAAAGTGAAAGGAGAAGCAGTGAGATTCCCTCCACAGAAATACAGGATGGATCAAGTTGGAAGAGACCACRGTGGGTCATCTGTTCCAACCTCCCTGTTCAAGCAGAGTTGTYCTGGAGCACATGGCACAGGATTACTTCCAGTTTGTTCTTTTATGTCTCCAGTGAGACTCCACAACCACTCTGGGCAATCTGTTSCAGTGTGTGGTCATTTGCACAGTAAAGAAGTTCTTCCTCATATTCAGGTGGGACTTCCTCTGCATCAGTTTCTGCCCRTTGCCTCTTGTCCTATTTCTTGGCACTGCCAAGAACAGTCTGGCTGCATCCTCTTGGCAGCCTCCCTTCAGATACCTGCAGACATTGGTGAGGTCTCCTTTTAGTTGTCTYGYCTCGAGGCTKAACAGGSCCWGCWCCCTCAGCCTTTCCTTGTAAGAGAGATGCTGAAGTCCCCTAATAATCTTTTTTTCCCTCCAGGAGCTCCATGTCTCTGTTGTASTGAGGAGCCCAGAACTGGCTTGTTGATCTCAAGTGCTAGTGTGAGGAAGGGGTATTTCATATGGGGATGGGTCTGTGGAAGTGCAATCAGTTGAGCAGAAAAATATGCTATATTTTAAGCATCTGTTGTGTAGATCTGAACCCAAGATTTTGGGTGCCTGGAAACTCCTGGTTAYGTAAATGCTGCTGTGTGGTGGTGTTTGTTTCCTTTTATTTGTAAACACTAAAATTAATAAAATTGACTGAAGTACGGAGGGAACAAAGCCCATGTGGCTGCCTCTGACTCCTTGTGCCTCTCTTTCTACATTCACTGGGCAATTTCAGCCACATTAGAAAGTAGGGGAGTAATGTGACATTTTGGAAAACAAACAGTACCTGGAGGATAGGGAGAGACACAGATCAGCTCTCCCTTAGGTGACTGACAGACAGAACTGAGATGTGATRGATAATATTACAGTTTTAGCTGCAGACAGCTGGTGGATTCTTATGAAATGAAGAGTGTCCAGACTCTCAGAACTTCTTGTTCCATGGGGGTTTTTTTTTCTGCAGTAATTAAACTGCCATTTTTGTTTTTTTTTTTAAAGATGGCAGAGTAATAATAAATTCCAGGTTAACTTTTCACATCTAAATGCAGATGGAGTATCTAAATTTTTTTTTCTTGTTGTGAGCAAATATAATGAAGTGAGAAAAATAATAGGGAAATAAGTTTAGGTGTCAAGAGAGTATTGAGTGGTATGTCTGGGGTTTGTGTCAACATTTAATTCACAACATACCATCTGCTAATCTGGTAGCTATTGTTGTGGTGGCATATGCCACCCAGCTGATTTTGTTTGGAAAATATTGAGTAGAAAATCTGAGTGAAGCTTGCTGCTTTCATTTGTTTTCATGTTTGTCTAATTGAAAGAAACCATTGTGAGGATTTTGCACGAGCCTTGGGGTTTTGGAAGATAGCTTGGTTTTCTTGAGGGGAAGGGGGATTTTTTACCGTACTATAGGAGATGTTCTGCATTCAGCTCCCAAGCAATTTTTTCCCTCACATTTTGTATGGGAAGGCAAACCACATCATTACACTGAGAAAGTGCACTCACTTATTGGCACATGGGCCCCTTCCCAGCAATTACACTGTCCACGCAGATAAAACTTCATATCCCAAGTCAGACAGGGTCATGATAGTATTTTCSAGATTGTGGTAGGATGGGTTTATGCCAGAACACATTTGCAGTGTATTGGTGRCAAGGATTGTTAGGTTGCTGCTAGTTCTCTAGTACTTCCCATCTTTCTTATAAAGGACAGGTAAATCCCAGGCATCATTGACAGGGGAAGAGCATACGCTGTACAAAGAACACCACTGGCTGGAGAGAAAATATTCTCCATATGAGGAGCTGTAGGATAAAACTTTCTGTAAAAAACGAGAAGCAGACAGGGGCATGTAGAAATGGTCTTGGGCTTTTAATGTGATTGCTGGTACTTGGCATGTGTTAAACATGTGCCAAGTAACCAGATTAACTGTGCAGTGATGAAAAGCTCGGACTGCTTACTGTTTCTAGTTTTGCTTTATGACTGTGGGAAAGTKTTGCTATCATTTGACCCAATAGGATGTTGAAACATTCAATCCATTAAGGATTTATGAAGTTGTTTGGCATATTTTATAGGAGAGGCTCTATAAAGTRTAGAATAGTAAACATGTGTGGTATTTCTGAGTCACCCATCCTCTTAATATCTGAGTATCTCTCCTGAAAAGCAGCCACACAAAAACCCCTTCCTTTTCTAAACCTGAGGCTGTTACTGAGATTTATTTCCCTTTCAAATAAATTCCTTTGGGATTCTGCATTCAGTATTGTGCTTTGTGTCATAGYCATTCACAACCTAGCAGCAATTTCTGCTTTTCTTGAGACTCACATGCCCTTATCATTTGAGCTGCAGAAGAGCCTCTGTAGAGAACAGAGCAAAGCCAGTGCTGTGCCCCGCAGACATGGTTTAGCATGCGACAGCCAGCCTGATGCAGTCCGGGGAGCAGCGCTGTGCCTCCTGCCTTTGCTGATTGACCTCACAGCTCCTGCTTATTTCAAGCACTGCACAAGAACAGAGCTTCACATTGTCTTCAGAATAAAGATAGGGTGCCTCAAGCTACTGATAAGCTTATCCTTGCTTTAGAGACACAGTTACAGAGCTGTTGTGAGCAGAAAAAAATTTTTTGTGCATCTRTGCTGGGACTTCAGCACTGGTATGACTTTTAGTGAGAGGGGCAACCACCATCACATGTTTGTAAGAGTTTCGTTGTATGAATGTGAAGTTTACATTTAAAATTTTTTTTTTAATGTTTTAGACTCCCTGAGTTTTACAATATTTTAGTTAGCGTTGACAATTGGGACTTTGGTTTTGTTTTTGTTTTTTTTTTTTTTTTTGAGCTGAACAAGTCTGGGGGAGAAGGGAAAGCAAAAATTAGTAATTTGAAATATACTCTTTTTCTCCTTGCTTAAAGCTAATGATGAGGGTAACCATTGTTGCACTAAGGTATGTGAAACAGTATGGCCATATTAAGGACATAAATGCATAAGAAACAAACAGCCAGACAGGGGTGGCATTGAGGGTATTGAGTGTTTTCTGTGTGGTTGGTTGCTGCTCTGGYCATGTCAGTCTCAAGAGTACTTCTGCTGATTTTCAGCAGCTTTTGCTCCTTTGTGTTGTTCCTATTGAAAGAAAGCTGTTTTCACTCAGCAGTGTGCACTGTTTGGGACCCTACCACTGACAATCCAAAACAGTTTTAAGGCAATATGCATTCTAAAAGCAGAAATCTCTTACTGCAAATCTTGTTTCATAACAATGTGTATGTCTTCTATAATACTTGTTAGCCAGCCATGTCTCCGTGAGACAAACAAATCACCCAGCCGTGCTTTCCAGCAAAGATTAAAGCAATTGTTATTCTTCAAACACTGATCAAGCTTATAAATATTTTTCAACTGAATTCAGTATGGAAGAAAAAAAGCACTTTGGCTCGACTTTCATTTTTGAGTGGGTAAATTGGTTCTGACTGGGAACAGAATATCAAAACTCAAAGCATTCCCTCTGGAAAGAAAATGCTGATTTCTACTACAAAGAAAGAGCAGAGAAACACGTGCAGCCCTGAATTTTCTCGCTACAACAATACATAGTCAGATACTTTAGAGTGGGGTTTAAAGACAAATATGAGCTAAGACTGTATCGCCAAAAAGGAAGGGTAAGGGGAGACCTCTTTTCACTTTGTAATTGCTCTGGACTTCCTTGCATGCAATGTCAAAATTGCTCAGCCTCGGAGTATGYCAGAATTGCTGCCTGGTCCATTGCCAGAAAAAGAAAAACAATAACGTTTATTTTTCAGTTGGATGGACGAGACAGTCTAATGTAAGCAGGGCAATGCAGTTGGGAAGGCAGCTGGAAGTGGAGGCACAAACCAGGACTAACCCCTGCCTCAGACACCAGGACTCCAAATCAGTTTAAAGCTGTGAGAATTTTAAATACTTCTAAATGCCCTTTCTAATGTAGGCACCCTTTCTAAACTCAGGCAGGGAACACAGGTCCTAAGAAGACAAGAGAGGGTAGAA